TTGCTTAGAGGATTCCAAACCGTGTATTTATTGTTTTGTTAAGTCTTGTTTTGTTATTGTTTTAAAAAGTTTATCATGGTTTCCATCTTCATTGTTATGTTTTTCTTGTTCTTGTTATTGTAATTTATTCAGAATAGCCTTTGTTTGTTGTTAAATTTGAGTTTGATAGCTACTACTTACTGTACCTCTTGTAAAAATGGTGTTACCGTGGAAATAAATGAATTGAATTGAATTGAACAATTCAACTACTTGAGGTCTAAACAGATTAACAGAACCATATATAGCCTATACTGTAGTATCAAAAATATTTTAAGTATTGCGACCATTGCAACTGTCGGCTACTCTTTAACCACTTGAAAACACCCATAATCAACAAGCGCAGATAGCTCAGGAGGTAAGGTAAGAGGCTCACAAGGCGAAGGTACCAGGTTCAAAACCCGTCTGGGCCAAAAACTTTTTTCTCGTTTTTTTCTTCAAAATTTGTGTTTATTAACTATTTAATCAATTTACTAAACTTATAATTAAGCTTTTCATACTAAATCTATATTATTTTGTGTTTTTTATGTTCAGGCCCAGACCACACTTTATCCCAGGGACATCCCATAGTAGTCCCATATGTCCTGAGAATGTCCTGAGGACTACCCTGGGATGACCTCGGATGTCCCATGGATATGCGTGTGAGCTTATCCGTAGGACATCCCCGGGCGGGGACATTAGGCATTCCTGTGGATATCCTGTGATATCCCAAGTTGACCATAGGACCACTATGGGATATCTTGCATATCCTGTCGCAATATCCGTGGGATGTCCTGAGGAGAAAGTGTGCTGTCTGGGTTCTTTATTAATACGGCTCAATGTTTCCACAGAACGCAGCAAAGAAAACTATTTTACTTTTAGATAAGTCCAAATACTTAAACCCCAATCGCAGCTCACCTGTGCACTCAACAACGTTTAAATTCTACCCTACTGTACTAAGTATGTAAACATAAAAAGCCTAATAAATATATACAGATATAGATTGTAAAGAACAAATTACCATTTAAAATAATAATTAAATAACTTCTTGATCAGCATTGTACGTGTTATTAAATTTACGGAAAGTAAATAAAAGAAACGTCTTATAACACTTAAAACATATATTTACGCTTATACTGTTACTCACAAGACGGTAAATATACAAAAACGATGGTAAGTGGTGATCGATTTCGATTGGACACTCCAATCATCATCAGACCCAATAGGTGAATGACAAGAATCTTGAATGGCGTCCCTACTTATACCCTATTGGCTACCGGAAGCACCGGCCAATACATTTTTATAAGTACAACTGGAATCAAAATGTATTTGTTCATTAATCAACTTATTTCTATCTTTACATTTTTCCTTATAAATATACAATTCTTCCCAAGCATTCATTACATATCCTTTCTTACAATTCTTTAAATAATAAATTAAATTAATTAAATAATAACTAGTGAACCCGTGCGGCTCAATGCGCCACAAAAAAACATATGAATTTAGAAAACAAATTCATCGTGTTATACATTGACTCCTAAGTCTTTAAATACAGTAAAATACATTAATGAATGAAGCCTTTAAGGAAAGCAGACCATCCATTTTCTAGCTGTACATGTCTTATATTTAGTAAATTAATAAGTTATCAAGCATTTTATAGTTATTTTAAGATTTCAAACACATTTAATAAAACATTTTAATAAAACCAATATATATCATATTTTAAGAACATAAAAATTTTTCTTGAAGAGACCCCTTTTAAAAATAATCCCAAAAATATATATTTTATGTAGGTACAAAAGAACTTCCTTGAATAACTTAGGCTACTAAGTTTTTATTCGTGAAATCACCTGGTCAGAATTTTCCGTAATGAATATGCATACACCATCAAAATGTGTAGCCCTACTTAAAGCAACATATAGTTGCCCATGACTGAAAACTGGTCTGGGTAAGAACAGTGTTAGGGCACTCTTTTAAGTGATTGCCCTTGTGCTTTATTGATTGTCATTGCAAATGACAAAGCTTATGGAAATTGGCATCTTCCCATTTTATATGGTAAGTTTGTTTCAGACGGGCACATTTTTATCATCGGAATCAAAATATGTCCCTCTCACTTGTACCAGTTAGGACTTTTCATTCTATTAAACTGTTAAACGTTTTGTTCACTTTTGTTCCATTAATGAGGCCCTCTGGTGTATAGATATTCCTCATCAATAAAACCACTGCCCCCTTGTTTAAGATCTGTGTCTTGGCAATCCACTGACCTCTATATTGTTTAAAAACTCTTTTGGACATTCTAGATGGGCGTTTAAATTATCTGCAAGCAAACTATCAATGCTTTCGTACACCTTGGGCTCACCTGGCAATTTATGCAAGACTTTGTTGTTGATCAAATTACAGTCACTTTTTTTGGGCGCTAAAATAGCGGTCTTTCATTTTACCATTTTGTATACTTTCAACGACGTTTGGGTGGATGAAATCAACAGGGCATCCAACTCTAAACAATCTTGCTGGCAAAATAGGGAATCCATCAGCTTTAGCCTATTTGGACTCTTTCATTTTCTGCTCGTGCACGTATTGCGTCATGAAGATTCATATAGCTCTGCTCGAAGTTTTGACTGTTCCCTAAACCGAGACGTTCACCTTCAATTCTCGTAAAAATGTCAAGTATGGAAGTGTAACCTTACCACAACAGCAGAATACTGAAGCCTAGGCCTAAGATTACCTTCAAAACAGGCGTGTGAGCTGCGAACTGCAGTTGTGTTACAGTGTTCCTGTGTGTAAGTTGCCCGATCAATCAGTGGCTATGGCTATTGGATCAAGACCTGAACATTGTACAGACAAATCTTCTGGGGTCCCATTTTTAGAATACACAACAAATAATTTATATTTTTGTATAGCATCAAACTTGTAGTAGAGGTTTTGTTTTGTTTTGATTTATAAATAAATTGTCTGGTAGATCAGCTGTTTCATGTCAAAATAATGAATGTCAAAGATTTGTGATTTTAAATATTACAGTACAGTTGTAAATCATGGTAGCTTATTCTAAACGAAATTTTACTATTCTCGGCATTAAAATAAAGTACCGGTAGTATGATCCATTATGAGTACACTTTAATTTACCCAAAACATTATTAAACTTTATATACATTTACAGGCATAATACACACCAATTTCTTATGTAGTAGACTTTCACTATTTTAAACTAAAAACATATGTTTTTATAAATAAAAATTATCTCCCATGTTATCCTTATGGAGAAAAAACTGACTTTAAGGGCCTCTGACGCCCTTGCCAACAACTTTATCAAAAAATCTAATACCGTTGGGCACAACTACACGTTTTAACCTTTATTTTGAGACCTCAAACGTCAAAATCGGGCGAATAATAACGGAGGAGTTCGATTAACAAAAAACGGCTTAGCCTATTATATATATATATAGATAGATATAGATTGTTTAGCGTAGCTAAATAAACAGTAAAATAAACTCACGGGTAACTGCTAGTATATTTACTACTAGCTGTAACCCGCGGGCTTTGTCCCGTTTAACTTCTTAATTTTCAAGATTATCTCGTTCGCATGGCTCAATCACATCCTGGTTGAATTTTGTTCGCTACGCTCACTCATCTTTAGGTTGGAGCTCGTTCGCTACGCTCACTCACCTCCAGGTTGAAGTTCTTTCGCTACGCTCACTCACCTTTTGGTTGCAAATTAGCTGTTGTCATAAATGTAAAAGAAATAATAGTGCTGCACCCTGTTGGTAATCCTTGTAACTTTAATGCTATTGAACAGCATAGAACAGAACCAACTTGTTTAATTGAAACAGCTGTTAAGATTCAATAATTCCATCTCTCATAAGGTTAACATGGGAAACTCCAGAGCCACTGGGGCAGAGCCCAAAAGGATTTTTGAAATAAGAATATGCCTATATGTTAATCGGGAATGTGAGCTATCATCATGCCAAATTTCAGCCCAATCCGACCAGTATTTTTCGCGTTCACTTGTCACAAACATACATCCATACATCCAAACTTTCTCATTTATAATATTAGTAGGATTAGTAGGATTTAAAAAAATAATGGTACTTACTGACATCTTTATCCAAAACATTTCTTTTCATACGTTAATCTAATGTGATAAAAATTACTGATTTCAAATGAGTGGCACATGTGGATTTATCTATGATTCAGTTTATTTGTTGGACAAGTCACAAATACAAATAAAATAATACAACCTTCCCATCCACAATGTTGTGATTGCAGTTGTGTTAGCAGAAGCAAAGGTTTATTCCTCCATGCAGTTTTGTCATTTTAAAAGTCTTAGTCGATTCCTCAGACTAAAACGCAGCCATCTCATGGTAGGAAATGGCTCGCTGACGACTGGACTTCATTTCAATTTCCTCTCAATTTTGCACATTGAGCGTGATGGACATTTTTGAACTGCACTTTAATTTGGGAGGGACATGGGACTGGTGCCTTCTTTTAGACCCCAACAATGTATTGCAGTTTTTACCACTTAGAACATTAACACTTGGTGATGATACAGACGTTGAATCTGAGCAGCATTCATAGCAGAGGATCACCTACCAAACGTTCAGAAATGTTTGCATCCTCCTTTATTGGCCAGTCTATAATCTCCGATGTGATACGGTAATGCATCTCTGTAATGGACTGATGCTCAGACAATATTCCCTTGCCATAAAAATGGCTCTAGAAAGTCACAATACTGCTTTAAAAATACCAAATTTTTCAGGAGAGGACAAGTGGGAGTGGAGGATCCTCCTTTCCTAGAAACATCCTTGACAGGGTCTAAGAACCACCACTGACCCAAGAAGATGCAACTAATATACTAACTCTATCATTGACTTTGGATACTACAACTACTTATTTTAAGTCAAATCAACTTGCACTTCACAAAATTGTTTTTACATTCTGATAAATTTAGCGGTTATGATACCTTATTCATGTAAAATAAAACACAAATTCTCAAAATAACTTTTTAATATTTTATAACACCTAACCATAACGGCTTAAATTTAGTCAATTAGTAGTGTTGAGTAAGGTCTGGACGGTAGTTTGAGTTGAAGTGATGTTGACAGATCCATCTGCAACAGACGACACAACTCTGTTTAATCAATGTCTGCTGAACAACGTTTTAGATGGAATATAACTTGCTAAAAGCCCATTTGCCAACTCCAGACAAGATAATGGCTCCTTAAATCAACTAAAATGAGGCATATTTATTAAAATCTACTCCCAATAAGTGTATAACCTAATCGAAAAAGGTTTGAAACTTTTTTCGATTTTCGAGAATAGAGTTTTTCTCTTATTTGAGTGAGTAGGAACTTATAGTTTATGCATTTTTCAAAATGAACTATTCACAAATTAGAATAAGTCTCTACTAATCCAAAGGCCTAAACATTTTCTTTCAAGAAAGGTGAAAATACCACAGCTGTAGATAAACATAACAATGTACATACTCTCAATTATATCTCAGTAAATGCCTAGGATCTTGAGCATTTAAGTATTGTCTTGACGTAAACATCATACCCGACTCTATTTTTATACCTCACAATCTTTTATCTTAATTAAACAGCGGTAATGGAGGGGAAACCAAAGAAACTTCCTGGATAGTTTTTCTTTCTGCCCATACATATAGTGTGAACAGATAAATTTTTTAGTCCTAGGACACTAGGCAAGAGCCCGGGATTGTTTTTCACATTACTTCAGGCTAAACCTAGGGGTTGTGGCATAATAACAGTTAAAATCCACTGGTGGTTTAGCAGGATTTGAACCCGGGACCTCAGAGACCGATGTCCTGCGCTAGACCAGCTTTCTCCCCCAGTAACAGAGATACAAACTACACCTTTAGTGCGATTTTGATGAAACTTGGTTTGTACATACTTAATTCATGGCATCCTTAGGAGTTGTTAATTGTGATTCTCAAAACCCAAAAAAAGGAAAAATCTGATTTTCACAAAAACTACTGGGACGATTTTGTAAAATTTAGCAAGTTATGGTCCTTATGAACTTAAACAAAATGGCACAACCCCCAAAGTTGTAACCAGTTTGAGTTCTTCAACAATGGAACACTAATCGCACTGGTCGCAATGACGCCACCAATGAGACTGAAGCATCAAGTCGACCAATCCCGTTAAAGTTACATTTCAAAAGCTAGTGAGATTTTAGTGATTTTCCCTATAAAAACCCATAGTTACCCCTTCCAGTGACCCAATAAAATATTTTGAACTTTTTACTCATAAAAGTACTTGGATGTTCAATTTTAATGTCAAGCATATTGGATGAAGTATGTGCCAATTCGCTAATACCGTTTATTTTAATGAAGTACTGTATAAGTATTAATTAACCCTACCCCCATGTTTGTTAATTATTGGTTAAATAACCAATCAATACATTGAGTTTGGCAGAAAAAGATTCAAATACTAACCAAGAGGATGAGGTCCATACTCTTTATGCTCAAAATATTTGTTGTAAGCAAACAACGTGGAGAGAATACAGACGAAAGATACCAATATAGAAAACATGGGAGTTGCCTTTATCAGCATAATATCCATCTGGAACAATATAATTTTTTTTTATCTCTAAAAAAATTTAAGATTTATAAAATACCTTTGTTGACCTAGCATTTTTGTTCTTGTAGTTAACACCTCCAGAATATGCATGGGCACATGCTTCACATGTATGTTTTGTAGTATTTTAAGTTCAATTCCAATGCATATTATATTATTTTGACCTAACCTATACATGTAATTGTGTCTACTTGGTTCAATAAATGAGTTATTGAGTTATTGAGTAAGTTACGTACTATACTTTGTTAGAATAAGTAAACAATTAAAATGTGTGTATAGAACCTTTGACTAATGATGCAACAAGACATTCCATCCCCATGTTAAGGTTGCCACCAGATTTTTTACCAAATCATCGTAGTTGATGTGAGCCAACAACAGATTTTTCCTATTTAAATTACCGTACTAATTTCAGTTAACTATACAAAACTTTTCACCAAATGAAACTAATGGAATGACTTATTGTGATCTATGATTATTGTGATCTATTATTGTGATCATTATTGATCTATTATTGTGATTATTGTGATCCATCTATGTGACTGGTATGACCCATCAACATGGTTAGCAACAAAAAATAGGCACATTTGTTTAGCTTAAAAATTTGTGACATTGTATGATCGCCAAAAAATTAAAATTTAAAAAGGAAATATATTTGAGCAATGTTAAATTAAAAAATATTATATTTTTAATATTATATAATAGATCAGAATGGTGGTTTTGTTTTGTTTATACATACCGTGAAAATATGAGATTTCCTACAAAAGGTAAACTAGCAAACACTACTGATGTTAGCGTTATGAGTAGATCACTATCACTATTTGATTTCAATAATTGATAACAAACAGAATACACATCCACATAATAAAGTTTACTTGTTACTTTTTTGTCAATAATGCAAATTTGAAAAAAAATCTATATTTATTATTTGGGTAGAATAGAGAACGAAAATAACAAACACACTTGAACATTTGAACATGTTGAACATAAAAGTACCACTTAGTTTGAGGAGTTTTACTTGATTAAAATTCACATTATTAAGGTTTCACTTTTCTTCAAGCTTCCTAATCCAATGAGGTTTTTAGAAACTTTTTACTATAAATTAACAACATCAACAAATAAATTTAATTCATCTTATTTTTGCACTTTTAAATTTTTTTCACCAATGTTGCAGGTATTGTACTTTTTTTATTATAACTCTTAAGATATTTTTTTGTTTGTTAAATTAACGATGATTTTTTTACACAATATGTATGAGTCACTTGTGTTATGATGTAGGCCTCCACATTTCTTATCTCTAACATATAAGTTCATAATTGATTTAGGCAGTCTGTGTTTTGTAAGCTGTAGAGAACATTGTGGATTGTTTACATATTGGTTGTGAGTCACTTAAAATATCAAGGGGTACCTATTCAGTATTTTAGTACTAAAGTAGCAGCTTTTGTTAAGGGTACAAATCATTCAGGTCTGGAATAAGTAGTTGGTAAAAATGTAAAACAAGTTAGCAAAGAAGTTTTTGTACTGCTCATTTTGTAGAAACTCAAAAACCTCTATCTTAGGGAAACTGTATAGGCCTTATATAGGCTTATATAGGCCTTGTATAGGTCTTATCTCCTTCCAAGTGGTTTTATGGGTTGCTTGTAAAACAAATTTAAAAAAATTCTTGGATGGCAAAATATTTTTTACTAAATAATAGCTATAACCAGTGCTTTATTTGCAGTGGAACACGGCGAAATGGAGTTCTGGTACTTCTCTTTCGGGAAGATAAAATATTGGCATAAAAAGAAGGTACATAAATTTAATCACATTAGGTACAGTTCGGGCACCTCAATTTTTTTACAAATCAAGCACTGCAGTATCCAATAGTCAATGCTTGTAGTATCCAATATCAAGAATACCAGTAATGTTTTACCTTCCAATAGTCAATGGTTTTACTTTCTCAGGAGTATGCTCGGTGCTATCAGTGAGGCCCCGTTGGTGTGTGTTTGTGCGATGGTCGCCTGCATTCTCATGTTGGTCTTGGCCTACAACTCTTATTACAGAGATCTAGAACACACGGCTAACCCTGAACCACCTTCGTTTCATGGTAATACTTTAAATGTCAACTATTTGCTATGCCTGTGCTTTGCACTCGTTGAGAACCAATCAGTCAATTACAATTTATTGAGATGATAAGGACGCCACCTAAGTGCATATTTTAACCCAAATATGAGTGAAGGATGAGTGTAGAAAAGTATGTGATGATCTGTGTGGCTTTATTACCAAGATCAGCTGTTTCACCGCTAGGATCATTTATTTGAAGCCATAACGCACTTACCGTTGCTGGATCAGGGACAGCTGGGTCCGGTTTCGAACTACCAAAAAGCTACCTACATACTTTCCTCACACCAACTGACTTTTGTGACACAACTGACCTTTTTCAGGGTTGATCCAGTGACTATCTGGCTCTACTGCATGATCATTAAGCTGCCCATAGCTATATTTCACTATTTCAGTAAAGTAAATCATCATAAAACTAAGGAAATACTAAATTGTTTATCATCTACAGATAGTGTCACGGTGCTTGGCGTCTCGCTGGAGCATGCGCACTGAGAGCTTTCCCCCACTACGCCTCGCGGTACGGTACAGTCACGTTCAAATGCTGAAGTTGTGAACTAGCATCAGCTGTCAAATATGTTTACGTTTTTGTATTTTTCGGGTTGTCATGGAGACAAGGTTTTGGTAGAGTTTGTATTTGTATTGGAGTGGAGGCGAGCAGGCGACTGTACTTGACGGCTGGAGGGGAAGCGTGGTGGGGGAGATTTCCTGTCTCTCTCGCACTGCCTCCCCTACACGCCAAGTACGGTGAAACGGTCTGTACTGGACTTTAAGAACAGCCTGGTCAACTTTAACCAGTTTATAGATATACTTTTGAAGTTATTCCCTTCTAATCAGCTTAAAATTTGTTGAATTTCCTCAACTAAACAGGAAAGAAAGGATTCAAATATAAATTACATGAATGTACATGGTACACATGTTTTAGCAAAAATAAACAGCCTCCAATGTCTTGTGGGAAGATTTTAATTTACTTTTACATGTTTTATCACAGGTATATATCGAACATGGGCTGGACAAAATCCATTGAATAGGAATAACTGATTGTATATAAAATAATTGAAACTCAAGGTAAGAAACTTATGACTTATTTTCATAGGTGATTTAATAGTTAATTTGTTGCCAACAAATTGTATTAATGATACAAGGTTTTAACAGAACTTATCTTGAATTTTATAAACAAACTTTCCTGGCTTTGCTTTTTAAAACGTATAGGGGTTTGTGTTACCTTGTAACTGTCCAAAGCAATCCTATATAGTTTTGTGCTTTGTATGAAGCACATCATCAGGTCTGAAGAATGTCAAAAGTCATTAAATATTCCTCATCGTGGGGTTCTTCAAAAGTTTAATAGTAGGCTATATAAAAAACACGAACGCCTGGCTTTGCTGACAAAGTATCTTTAAGTCAATGAGTATTCTACTACTGATGTTACCTATTATCCCTATTACCCTTAGGCCTACGTAGAATAGTGACTTGGCATTTCTGCTGAATATATATGACTTTGTCAATGCTTATGTAGCCTGAAAGACAATAAACATATTCTTATTCTTCTTTTTCTATTCTTATTCTTAACAGTCAAACAGGTTGTATTTATTTTGTAATATTTCACAACATGAAAAAGGTGTTTAGCTAAATATAGTCGTATGATTTTAGCGAACTCATTAATCAATACTCTATTTTTTATTTTATTTTTTCAGATCATCAAGTGACGTCACAGCTGGAAGAGGAAAACGGTGACTTAAAGGACCAAAAAAAGACTGTGTTTTACGCATTATTACTTATCTTATTATTTTATAAATATAAATCAAATAAATATTTAGCCTTTAGTTATGGTTTCTTATGATTACACAACAACTAATTGTGTACATTTTTTGTTGTGCCAAAGAGAGGGCATTGATCTTACCAACTTGTACAACTATACAGTAGACCCCCTCATAACCGACCTTGCATTATCCGATAATCGGATTATCCACCCTCAATCGTAAAAATTCTAAAAAAATACAGTTTGTTTTAACTGACCATGCTTTGAGGGCAGTTTGGATTAATATTAAGAATGTATAGGGGTTTTTTTGTGAAAATATTGGATTTTCAAACTCACTAAGGAAAAAAAAATAACAACGTAATTGATACAAAGTCTTATTAGTATGAAAAGTCTACAGTTACAGAATGATACCTTTTTTCCGACAATATCAAGGTGTATAGAATATTCTCGGCTGATAAGATGAAAATATGTCATGTCCTCAAGTACTGGGTCAAATCCGCAATATCTGCAACAAAAATAGATAATTTTATATATCTGCATCAACAAAGGTATTGTAGAGGTGTTAGATGAGCAGTAAAGAAAAAACATGTGATTACTTACAATATGAAGTAGTTGTGTCTTGCGTACGGAGGGAAACCCTAGAAATGTGAATGCCCTTTTTTTAACACTTTACATCAACTGGGGAAGCATGAGCGGCCATACGGAGGGAATTGGGGGGGGGGGGGGGGGGTTAAAGGCTGCCCCACAAAGATTTATATAAATTTTGTTTTATCAAAGAGTTAGAATATAAAGGTTTGTCACACTGTATCCGTGAAGTAATATGTAAATGGTGCTAAACAATTCTTTTGAAAAATGACTGTTCCCTGTATGACTTAAAATCTTGGGAATCAAAGTCCAAGGGGAAGCACAGTGACGCCTGGCTGATGTTTTACTCACTGTGGTTGCTACAGCGTTTTCCGATCCCCGGTTGTCTGTTACCATGTCGGTGGCTTGTCCAGGATGACAAGACCTACGATCGGAAAATGCTATTGCAACCACAGTGAGTCAATTACTGACCAGACTGCTTCCCACAACGACGCAAACCACAGTACATTAATCTCTATTGTGTCGTTGGAGATCTTCATTTTTTCACTGTCTTTATGTTTATATTGGAGCACAAACAAAGCATACCCATTAATGGTTTAATCAATGGTCGTAAGTAGGCTTGATTGTTTTGGAGCTTTGAATAAAATAGGAATTTTTAAATTTAATTCATTCTGAAAATGTTAACATTACATCACCAGTATGGTATAAGTAACAGACCAATTGGGTTCAAGGATTGAGAGAAAATTGTAATGCCTTGAATGCCAACTTATCAGCTGGCAACGACCATTTAAATTGTTAATCTACCGATTTCCGCCGGAAAATCATACATTCTTTCCTTAACCTAAAAAGAATTAAACGATTTCCTAACCAACAAATGCAGGAAGGTGTATTGTAAGATTTTGAGAATGTCGGATAGTTCTTGTGAAATGGTCATAACTAAAGTACCCAGTATAATTTACTTGCGTAATTCACCTTTACTTTAAGTGAATTTTTACTCGTGCCGTAAAGACTATCACTACGCGATTGTTGCATTTAAACTAAAATTACAAAAGCATACCTCTTCTAATGAAGCATTTTTGAAGCTCGACTGATTTTTTATCACACTTCTGCTTGTAGTTTTAATATGTCTAACTAGACATTGAAATTCTTTTAAGCCTCACACCAGTTCACCTTAAGTTATCTACTTTTTATAGACTTAATTAATACCTACATTACTATATCAAAATGTGATAAAAGCTAAAAATGTTCACTAAAATAAAAATTGTATAAATAAACTTGAAAATACAATACTCACAATTGAAATGGTGTTCAAACTTTTCAAATTTCTGCAGAGATTCAGATATTTTGTTAACAGAACTTTTACTTGAATAATTAACAGTTTCTATTGATGTCTTCAGGCCCATCCATCTAAAATTTGGTGTCAAGAAAACTCATCACCACAATAATATTTCTTACCTAGGCTATCTATATTATTAAAATATTCATATTGATTTTTTGTGGGCTTTTCCACTCTTTCCACTTGAAGTCTATAGGATACTACATAAGATATATACAAAATAAATACCATTCTTTGTAGATGTCTTAATTTTATTCAATATAAAAATGAGTAAAATCCATAAGTTCATATTTTACTAAACTTTAATCCAAACAAGCTGCCCAAGTCGTGTTTGTGTTTTAAGTAAATATTTATTTTGACGTTTACGTTTGCACGAGTTGACAATGTTACCTTTGCAACAAAACTAGCCAGTGGATGAAAATGATGTACTACAGACAAAGGTACAAAAGCCTAATTTGTTATCAAACTTGATTTGGTCGTTTTTATAACCAGGATGTTTTACTGACAAAGGTTGCTGATTAGAAAACATACGTAAAACATTAAACTGTAAATAATGCTCAAAAGTAAACTCATGATAAAGGATACAGAATGTGAAAACACTTCCAAATATCTGACGCATGTTCAAAGAGGTCATCAAATGATGGTATCAACGGATTGATATCTGACGACTCCTCGTTCTTAGACTTTAAAAAGGCTTTCTCCACTGATGTGAGTCTGGTTTTCAAACCATCAACGTGACTCTTCATTTCTTCTCTGAAACAAAAAGAAGACAAAGTGTAAGTAAAATGTCAATAGTTCCAAGCCTTTTCTAATTAAGAAATTTAGTAGAAATTAATTTCATAATGTGGGCTAAGAAAAGAATAGTAAAGGCAGATTATTGGTGAGATTAAAGTATAAATGTAAAGGTAAAGACATGTTCTGAAAAAAGAATCTATTAAATATCTCAAACTGTACAGTCAACTAAAATTGAGAACAACTATTTTGTTTACCAATATATGCAAAATTAAATTATGTCATTTATTGTATATGTTACCGGTAAAGTATTTTTTAACGCCAAACAGGCATTCTGTAGCCTACATTATCAAAATAAATCAGGCAAAGTGTGAAATAACGCTTATTACGATTACGCTTATTACTAATGCCAGTTACATTTTTATATTTTTTTAATGATTGTAAAGATTTGGGATTGTAGTAACTTGTTTTTTTAAGTACATAGTTTTTTTTATTTATTCATTACATTGTATTATAAATTGGTTTTATTTTATTTTATTTGCAACTTACTCAAGTTTAGAAACGGAGCTGATTTCTTCTTCTATACCCAATCGAATCTTTCCTAACAGTTTTGTTTTGACACAGGGGAATTTCTGAAGAAACTTTTCATCCAGTTGTACTCTGAAACCAAACATTTAAATAACTATATAATTCTTAAACAAAACAAATAACAAATTAAACATTGTTCTCTCTTTTCTAAACCATACAAGATACTTAGGACAGGGACACTGCAGTTTCGTCGGCCCGGCGCAATGTGTCCTTCCGGGCCTTCCTGTGTACTTTAACTATCGCCGGCTCCAACGGAACCAACTGCCGGCAAATTTTGCTAGCTCGTGTGTCCCTAGCCTGAGGCATCACAGTTTTGAAAAAGTTACAGCTAGCGTTAGAAAAACTTGCTGTGGTACTCATTATCATATAGACAGTGCTCGATTTGCGGAAGAACACGGCGGAACGGAGTTCTGCTAACTTTCTTTTGGAAAGAAAATAAAATTGGCACAAATAGGTACAAATCACATTAAATTAGTGACAGTTCCGGCACCTCATTTTTTACAAACCGAGCTCTGCATATAGATCCAGCTACACGGCAGAAAACCTGCCGACTAAGCCAATTTCCATTAGCCTGATTTTATTTTCATTTAAACATTTCCTTAAAATTATCAAATTTATTCTCTACAGAACATTAGGTGTACCTAATGAATATTTGGTTTTGCTGCAGGAAACGTTAAAATTATTTTTAGTGAAATGTTCATAGCTTAGTACCTCTGAGGCTATTGAACACAGTAAATAAATTTGCCAGATTTGATAGAAATATGAACAAACAAATATCAAACTTTAAACAAGCAAAATACAACAATTAAAAGTTATTCTAAGATAAATTATATAGGAAAAAATTGAACTACAGTCCGTAACCATTAACATAGGCCTACAGTAACCAAGCTTCAATTTTACTAAATTAATTGGTTTTAAAGCTCCACAAAATAGTCCGGAAATTGCAAATTTAATATATATATTTAAAAGGGGAAAATGGGAAATAATTATTAGTGTAACTAGGGGCGAAGTGACACTTTATACTTTCACGTTGCACATTATATTTTTCCTACAGTTACTAAGGCTATAAATAATTAGTAGGCCTATTTCAAACACTAAACACGTTTTAGGTTAGGTTTATTCCAAGCATTAAACGAAAATAGAATTAACACAAAACAACGAATTAAGTCGTAGCATCAATAGGCTCTAGTCAGAAGCTGAGAAACACTGCACCAGCTGATCGTGTTGTAATATGTTTAAGTGAATGTTGCCAACTTATTTTCAAGGGTACATGTATTACATACAATAAAAGCACACTGTTTTGTGTTGTTTGGTTGGAATACTGGAGTGCAGCAAATTAAAATGAGTGCAACAAAAGTAGGTAAGTAAATATGGCAGTAAGGCCTAGCTACATGGCGTGCTATAATCAGTGCAAAGTCTGCTTTGTCAGGTATCTGTAGAAAAACCAAATTTTTACCCCGTGAACTCTCCTATTAATCCCATCCCAATAGTCTAATTAAGCTGGTTCGCAAAATCATTAGAATAAACCTAGATGTATTTAAGTAAGAAATTTCAAAAAAATCAGATTATTTTTAATCAAGTTATCGTCTACTAATGAATACGATGAAGCCTACCACCGATAGGCGTATGAATGTAAACGGATTGTAATTTTGACCTGTGGGGACATCAAAATTAAATAGTAGGCTACATTAATCCCAGATCTAGGTCTTACCCGGGACTTTAAGCTATATACTTTTATATTGAGTCCTATGAGAACATTTATGCATAACGGTGGGTGCTGCGTTACTGACCTTTTCTCTCAGTAACTTAGTGCTGCTCTTCAATTCTTTTGCTAACTGTGTTTTGTTATCTAGTTTCCCATTACCGGTTTCATAGTCAATTTTATAAGATTTGCTGCTTAAAATCATATTCAAGGTTTTGTTTCGGTATGTAATCTAAGTGTAAACAATCACTATCAGGAACCTATGCCAGGAATCTTTTAGTGAATAATTGACTTTGCTTCTCTCGTGGAAAATAGACTATATTGACAAGCTGCAGGTCAAGAATCGTAAGAAAACTTTATAGCTGCAATGGAACCATCAGAAACCTTAGAATTTGAAACATCAGAAAGGGTAACTCCCAGAAACAGAGAGCTTTGTCTGGTACAGACGACTCTCTCGTCAATGGAAAATCAGGCTTTGGAGTAAGTTTATGCAGTTTGCCTAGGCCTACAGTTTGCATCAGTCAGAAAATAACTTTTTGGCAGTCTGAGATCACTTTGAACCATCTTCCGGGAAGAAATCTGTGGCATCTTGGCTTGCGCCAACCTAGGACTGGCCAGACGCTACCAAGACAAGAAGCTAACCTAGTGTCTGATCGTCAGGTGGCTCTTAAAGCTGTTGACTCAAATAAAGTCACTTCAAATCTAATTTGGGATTGCTTCAGCACCTTCAGCAAACTTACCACATGCCACTATGTAAGCCTAACTCTCGGCTAGGTTCCGAGCGATGCAGGCATAACTTGGGTGGTAACGAGCGTTCAAAAAAAAAGGTGCAAGCATGCCATTCCTTAGACCGAAGCCAAGGTTTTCAATGGGTTTTTTGTGTTTTAGTTTAGGGAAAAACACCTAGAGTGTTGGAATAATTATCCTGGACAATCACTTGATAAGAAACTGCTCTCAGAACCTAGCACCCTCTTCACTCGCTTCAGCTGGGCAGAGGGCAGGTCAAGTAGGCCTCCTTGCTCTCATGACTGGACACGGTCATTTTAGGAAGCAACTCCACACGGTAGGAATCGCCAATGACTAGCTTATAAGGAGTAACAACTTTGCAACCAGTCTGATGAGACTGTAAAACCTCTGAGAAGGGCTCTGTTTGCTCTAAAGCAGCCAAGTGATGAACCAGGCTCTAATATTAGGCAAAAGCTCCTGCGCCTGGTCAAGGACATCTAAGGTAACTTAAGTAATAGGCTTAACTAGGCCTAGTTAGTAAGTTAGCAAGTGGCAAGTGGGGAATGCAACTTAAGCTTTGGTTGACATGGAGGGACCGTAGGTCCGCAACTTCTACAACACAATATAAGTTAGGCTATGGTACACTTCGGCCAAAACTTCTGTGGATATGGACGGATCGCTACTAGCCGAACTAAAACATAAGGGTACCGGCTATTGGCAGTGCTGGGGGTAGGGGTGAGAGAGTAGCATGACACAAATGTTTTCACAAAAATACCCTCTCCTAGACCCATCCAGATCTGGTCGCCCACACAGAAACTTTGGCCGAACTTAACTTAATTATCTTTCTTCATAAGAATGATAATGTAGGCTACTGTTAACTTAGGCTAATGGCAATCTAGGGTGAACTTCCGTATCTGTTGGCACAAACAACCAAATGAAAATATTGATTAGGCTACCTATTTGTTTGTTTCAATCGATATATCGTTCAATAGGCTATATTGGCTGCACTTCACTTTACGTCCTACATTCATTCAAATGAAAATATCGGTTGTTTCATTCGAATGAGTGTAGGACGTAAAGTAAAGTGCAGCCAATAATTTCATTCGTTTGTTTGTGCCAACAGATACGGAGGTCTAACTTACGTGCAATCAAGTAAGTTAGCCTGTGTGCAACAATCTGCTTACCTTTCACATAACCTCAACTGTTCACATTGCCTAAATATAGGGCTCAAAAATAAACTAATTTGTTCCATTATTGACTTCCAGGAACACAGAGTCGCAAAAAAATATTTGAAAAATTCTGAAAGAGTCCTTTCTTGTTCACTCATAATAACGACTTTACAATTAATAACTTAAGTTAATTATAACAATACCAGTATCAGTTGCTTACACTTCTTAAGTTACTTTATCCACGACAGTGTTTTAGTTTTAGTTACCGGTACTAAAAATCACTAGCATAACATCATAACATCTAAGAGAGGTTATGATTTTGTTTATAACCCCTCATTGCCACTGACAATGATACACAACGAAGTTTATTGCTTGTACTAATGGTGGTACCAGACAAACACTGAAACGAAACTGAAACGGCTGATATTGAAACTGAACACAAATATTAATATTGTACCACTCAATTAAAGCTAATCAAAGACTGCACTTAACGCAAAGACACTAATTGAGGACTTGAGGAGACTTGGAGACAATTCCACATTCCACTATTAAATTCAATTATTAAATTGAAATTGGCCTGAACTGGTTAAAGTTCAAATAGCAACATTTTACTTCTTTTCTTCTCTCTCAGGCGAGTAGCACAATTTGTTTTTCCTACAGTCACCCGACAAAGTTGGCTTCCTTGTAGGGTAGAGTGGGGGAATTGGGACCCACGTTTTTATTTTTTTCAATTATATGTTTATTGTCAGAAAAAATCAAAATATGAGCATGCACAAGGTTTCCAACTGTAATTTGTCTTCTTATACCCATAAGCACCTAATATTAATTTGTGGGGGTAATAGGGTTCTGAAAATGAAAACATAATAAACAAAATGCAACATACTTTTATTAAAAAAAAAATTTTAGGACATTAGAACGGTTCAAACTATTTTTTCCAAAACATTACACTTTTTTCTAAATAAAATAGGAAAAATTAACCATCAGAGCAGATAACAGCCAGAAAATATAGATTTAAACTGTTAATAGACATGTATAGTTAAATAAAAAAAAACTACAAGTATATTTTATGTCGAACTTCTTCTCTGGTCATATGCAAACTTTCCGGAATTTCGCTTTTTCAGCCGAAAGAATTTCTAATAAATGGTTGTTATCAGTCCAATTATAAGTTAAAACAGGCCAATTATGGGCTTAGCTCACTCTTTTAGGCCCTATTTTTTTATCAAGTGGTTGTAAAATAAATTTTTCACTTTTCTGTACATCTGTGATTCCAAACCGATGTAACCACGCGATGAGACTGGTTCCCAATTACTCCATGCTGGGGTAATTGGGACCTACTTCAAAATTCTGTTTTTACACATAATACATGATAATCACCACTGCAGCCACAATTAATAAATTATTGATTAATTATATGTGGGATTAATTATAATATTAATATTAATTATATGTGGGATAAAAAATATGGGTCCCATTTCCCCACGCCGGGGTAATTGGGACCCATTTAAAAAAAAATTATAAAATTAATTTATAATTTTTTTTAAATTTTAAAGCCCTAACAAACTATTGCTTAAACCTTTAATGTGTCAAAAAATGCATTTTGGTATGATTATTAATTCATAGAATATATAAAAAATAGCTCGAAATACTACCACGCTGAAGTTTTGCCATATGTTTAACATTCGGGAAAAAACACGGCTTAATTTTTTTATTTTTTTTATACATTAAACACAAGATTACAATTACCCAATAATTTGTGATGAAACCCCTTTAGAATGCCTAAACTTCAACGTATTTACAATTTTGTTAAGAAAATAAATAATACAAAATTTAAAAATTTTAAAAAATAGCTCCCAATTACCCCCGGGTCCCAATTCCCCCACTCTACCCTACTTTTTATAGTACAGAAAGCTGCTAATTGCTGCATATTTATACTTTGCTGTACGGTTTATACTTTGCCGTACGGTTTACACTTTGCCGCACATCAGGATTCCAACGAAACAACACAAAACAGCGTGGTTCCATTATGCACGTAATCCGTGTACGCTTGGAAATAGGTTGGCAACACTTAAAGATAATTATACTATGAGCAGCTGTTTGACTATTATAACTACGATTTAACCTGTCATTTCGTGTTTATAGTTTCGGTATTTCTGAACTTTCTGGACTTTTCTTTTAAACGTTTTTAAAACCTTCCTACGATCTTAATAAACAAGAAAATGCCTTTTAAGCATTTTTTTTTTAGGCGCGGAAACCACTTCAAATTACAAAAACATACGGAACTATATTCTCAAAACGCGGAGCACATTTCTTGCCGAGGAAAAATAGCGGAGTGATATGGACCGCGGGTACTACTTTCTCTAGGTCACCATTTGTGTTGCCAGCTGAACCTAAAAACGTGTTGCATAGTGTTTGAAAGACTAATTATTTATATGCTTTATAGTGACTGCAGGAAAAATATAATGTGTAACACGAGTGAAAAGGCCTTTGCTGCACTCGAGATGGGTCGCCGGAATTTTATCCCCCTGGAATTTTACCCCCTGGGCAAAGTTGACGTCACTATGACGTAGTAACCTGAGTGGCCAAAAGTTTGTTCGCGGCCGGAATTTTACCCCCGCGGATTTAGAAGTCTAATGAAAGTAGTCAGAGCGTGATTAATTAGATTAGCGATATAAACCGGAATTTTACCCCCGGAATTTTACCCCCCGGAATTTTACCCCCTCGGATTTTTACCCCCCGGAATTTTACCCCCAGATTTTTACCCCCCGGAATTTTACCCCCCGGAAATTTACCCCCTGGCCGATTTTAGAAATGGAATTATTGATATCCTTATTTCTGTGTTTAATTAATTGTAAGCAGTTCATTATTTAGTAGCCTTTCTTTCTTTATTTATTTTGTAATCTCAACTAAGTAAACAGAATTCGCTGTTTCATTTTGATCGTATTAACCAACAGTCCTACAAGATCGAATCCTGATACTCGAATCTCAAAATTAAAATTATTAACATGTTCGATTTGTTAATGTTACAAATAAATTAAGAGGCTACTTAATAATAAAATGCTTACTATTAAATTAAAACTGAATGAAGATAATTAATCATTCTCACTAATTTATACATCTGACTAGGGGGTAAAATTCCGGAGGGTAAAAATCCGGGGGTAAAAATCCGGGGGGTAAAATTCCGGGGGGTAAAATTCCGGGGGTAAAATTCCGGGGGGTAAAAATCCGGGCCGTACATTTTAGGTTTTGATAATTTGATGTGTTCTGATTAAATTCACAACCGTGAAAATATATGTTTAATTCCTCATTTAATCCATCGAGCTGATGTCGCGAAACTCAAAAGTTCGCGGCCGGAATTTTACCCCCTGGTTTGTGACGTCACGTTTGCCCAGGGGGTAAAATTCCAAGGGGATAAAAATCCGCTACCCCCTCGAGATCATTCCACACTCGCCTGCGGGGGTCGCCGGAATTTTACCCCCTGGGCAAATCTGACGTCACTATGACGTAGTAACCTGAGTGGCCAAAAGTTTGTTCGCGGCCGGAATTTTACCCTCGCGGATTTGGAAGTCTAATGAAAATAGTCAGAGCGTGATTAATTAGATTAGCAATAAACCCCGGAATTTTACCCCCTGTCCATATAACTAGCGTTTAGGCAACTGAAGATGTACGGGCCGGATTTTTACCCCCGGAATTTTACCCCCCGGAATTTTACCCCCGGAATTTTACCCCCCGGAATTTTACCCCTGGCTGATTTTAGAAATTTAATGATTGATTTTCTTATTTCTGTTTTTAATTAATTGTAAACATTTCATTATTTAGTAGCCTATCTTTATTTATTTATTTTGTAATCTCAACTAAGTAAACAGAATTCGCTGTTTTATTTTGATCATATTAACCAACTTGGCTTCAAAGATCGAATCCTGACACTCGAATCTCAAAATTAATATTAAAACCCTGTTCGATTAGTCAATGTTACATATAAATTAAGACTTAATATTACTTAATAATAAAATGTTTACCATTAAATTAAAACTGAATGACGATAATTAATCATTCTCACTAATTTATATCTGGCCAGGGGGTAAAATTCCGGGGGGTAAAATTCCGGGGGGTAAAATTCCGAGGGTAAAATTCCGGGGGTAAAAATCCGGGGGGTAAAATTCCGGGGGTAAAATTCCGGGGGTAAAAATCCGGGCCGTACATTCTAGGTTTTTATAATTTGATGTGTTCTGATTAAACTCACAACCGTGAAAGTATATGTTTAATTCCGCGTTTAATCCATCGAGCTGATGTCGCGAAACTCAAAAGTTCGCGGCCGGAATTTTACCCCCTGGTTTGTGACGTCACGTTTGCCCAGGGGGTAAAATTCCAGGGGGATAAAAATCCGCTACCCCGCCTGCGGCTCGTGCGTAAACATTGCTCTCGTGTGCAGCAAAGTGCCACTTTCACCACTACACAAATAACTATTTCCTGCAGTCACCCGACAAAGTTGGCTTCCTTGTACTGTTTATAGTACAGAAAGCTGCTAATTGCTGCATATTTATACTTTGCCATACGGTTTATACTTTGCCGTACGGTTTATACCATTGACTATATAACACTACCGTTTAAAAATTGCAGTGGAAAAACATAATTTTCCATTGTAAAATTATAACTAGTTTTCTAATAAAACACATTACACTTTGTTCAACGATGTAGTAGGATTCATAACAAATTGATCGACTACTTTTACGTGTGTCAGAATTCATCTTGGACCCTTCATCCTGTTCTTTTCTCATTGGTAACTGAGCCAGTTTCAGAAAACTTCCTAACTAAATCATTTACAGCCATATGACTCAAGGTTATACCTGGATATCTATTGTTAAACACTTTGCAGTTATCCTGGAACACTTTTGTTATGACCAATAAGTAAAATAAAGTCTATTTTTTTAAGTTTACACCATATTTGATTAGGTACTACAGGAAATGGTACTTTTGAAATTAGTACTACCATTGACTAGTCAATGGTACTACAGGAAGCGGCCCACGCTTGGGTTTTTCTAATCAGCTATAAAACTTGTTTTTCACAAAGTAAAACGCAATGACTTGTTTGCCTATCTGCCTAAAAATAATTATGAATTGTTTCCTTCAGTTATTGCACCATTTAATGTGTCTAGAGACGAATTTTGGCTGTTTTATTAGAAAACTAGATACAATTTTACCATGGAAAATTATGTTTTTCTACTGTAATTTTTTAACGGTAAGAGATAGAAAGAAAACTTAAATACGTAAAATGTTTGTTAAAAAAGGACCTTTCACGTGGTATGAAATTTGTTATACCTTGCTATTTAAGAACTTTGAGTTTTCAGCTTTCTTTTATTCTTAAAATTTGAGATTTTTTAAAAATTAGAAAATAACTTGGAAAATGCCCTTCCTACAAGTTATCTTAAAGAATAGCTCAAGAATAAGCTTGGAAAGAAATTTGGTGCTGTTCCGTTCAGTAGTTAGGGTAATACGGTACTTAACTTCAAAGTCCTTTTTTAAAACGTTTTGACCCACCCTGTAAATACGGTTAAAGATAATTGAACTTTTTTTGCACCAA